AACATCAATGATAAGAGAGAATCATTGATTGGCTGCCTCCTGCACACCCCCTACTGGGGATCAAGCCCACAACCTGGGCATGTGCCCTTGACTGGAATCGAACCCGGGACCCTTCAGTCCACAAGCTGACGCTCTATCCACTGAGCCAAACCAGCTAGGGCTCCAACATCATTTTTTAAATGAAAACTGCAAAGTGCAGAATAGTATATAGAAGATACTAACTACCATTTATGAAAAAAATTGTGTGTGTACATATAGACATATCTATATTCTAGAGGCCTGGTGCATGAAATTTGTGCACAGGCAGGGTCCCTAGACCTGGCCGGCGATCAGGGCTGATCTTTGGGGGCAACCAGTGGGGTGATTGGGGGGCCCCCATTGGCACCCGCATTGGCCGGCCTGCTTGCCAGCCCCACCCCCCACTGCTGCCACCAGTTACCTCCCTCTGTGGGGTGACGGGTGGCATCTGCCTTGGCTGGCCTGGGGCCTGTGAGCTGGGGGCAGGCAGCTCCTGTGTTGAGCGTCTTCCCCCTGGTGGTCAGTGCACATCATAGCGACCAGTCTTTCTACCAGTCAGTCGATTTGCATATTAGGCTTTTATGATATAGGAGGATATGTACATATGCATAGTTATAGAGAATGCACACTGGACAGCTCACACTATATATATATGCACAGTATCTCTGAGAAGAACATAAAATGCTGGTAATAGTGACTGCCCAGGAGAGATCAGATATGGGTAGATGCCTTTCAAATTTTGAACCAAGGGAATATATTATCTACTCAAAAATAAAGTTCAAAACTTTTAAATAGTGCTTCCTCTTCAACTCAGATATTTTACTTGTAGGAATGTACACTTAGTAAATGATCATGACAAAGATTTAGCTATGAGAAATTATGAAATGGTATGGTATAACCTTATCTTTAAAGTAAAACTTACCATATAAATGTAGATGGACATGGAGATTAAGACACATGGAGAAATACGGAGAGATACAGAGACCAAAATGCTAGTCAACAGTGGTTATCTCTGCGAGATCAGATTATCATTCATTTTGTTTTCTTCTGTTCTGTGTTTTCAACAACAAACATGTTACTTTTGTAAAACACAAATGTTAAGTTTGTCCCTTTTAATAAATATACATGGGTGATCCTATAAATAGCAGCCCCAGGTGGAGAATTTGAAACTTTGTTGTTAGAGACACAGTTTTTCAAGGACAAAGATTACCAGACTTGTATTGCTGGGTAGAGAGCGCTGCCCACTCAGCATTTTGGTCACAATGCTGACGCCCTCCCAGCCTGCCCCAGGGGGGCCGTGCCCAGAGGCTGCGGACCCAAACCTCCTCTGATCAAAACTGGGGAGGCTCCCGAACTTCTAGAGGCAATGCAGCTCTAAGGAATGGTCTTGGACCAATCTCCAGTCTGATTTCCAGAGCAGACTCACTGTTTTCCCTTCCGCTGCAGGTAAAAATCAACTGTTATGGGCTGAATTGCGTCCCCCCGACCCCCCAAAATTCAGAATGTGCTGTATTTGGAGATTTTACCTTTAAAGAAGGAATTAAGTAAAATGAAGCCACTAAAGTGGGCCCTAATCCAATATCTTATATAATAAAAGCCTAATATGCTGTGTCCGGTCGTCTGGTCGCTGTGCCACCCGCTGGGACCCTGAGAAGCTGGAGCTTTGCCGGTGCCGAGTGACCAGGGCGGCCAGACACCAACAGGATGTCCAGTTAAATTTGAATTCACACAAACAACAATTGTTTTCGCATAAGGATGTCCTACATCAGGGGTCCTCAAACTATGGCCCGCGGGCCACATGCAAATACAAATATTGTATTTGTTCCCGTTTTGTTTTTTTACTTCAAAATAAGATATATGCAGTGTGCATAGGAATTTGTTCATAGTTTTTTTTTAAACTATAGTCCGGCCCTCCAACGGTCTGTGTGTCCAGTGTGGCCACCCCCCGGGTGTCCCCTGTCCCGGGTCTTTTGCGCCCCCCCCCCCCCAAGCTGTGAGTCACACAGTGGGGACCTCTAGGCAAATGTTTCCGAACGGAACAGCATCACGGTTTAGGGAAATCCCCTCACCGTCCCCATAACGCATGTGTTGGCAAAGCAGAAACCCGAAAACAATGCCTGCAAGAGGAAAACAGAAGAGGTGAGGGGGTTCCTAGCATCCCGAGGTGGCTTCAGCCTGCTCCTGCCTCCCGGGGGCGCCGCTGCTCTGAGATCCAGGACTGGGGACCAGACCTTCCCAACTCCCCCCACTGCCCCCCCCCCCAACCAGGGGCAGATACTCTTCCTTCAGGCGTTTCTGCGAAAAGGTCTGCCAGGAGGAGTGGCCCGGGGGCTGTGTGAGCTGGGCAGGTGCTTGACACGGGATAACCGATGTGCCCCCTCGGGCATCCCTGTGGGGGTTACAGGAGGAAACGCCTGGCAGGGGGGGGGCGCATGCCCGTGCTCCCCACCCGGTGAGGACCTTTCTTTACCCCCGGCCAGTGAGAAGGCAGGTCCTCAGTGCTCTGTGCTCCCAGAGCCTGGCCTCGGGAAGCCCCCCAATGGGCCCGGCCACTGGACAGGACTCGGCAGTGAGCCCTGTCACCTGTCATTTGGCAGCAGGCCCGAGAGGCAGGACTCAGAAGACTTTGGTTTTGGACCCCCCACCCCACGTCCCGAGGGGTGTGAGGGGCCTGGGGGTGTGTGTGAGGGGACTGGTGTGACCCCGGCGTGGGGTAGGGCCCTGCCTCTTCTGGGGAGGCTGGGCTGCGACCCGGGTGGGGAAGCCCCTGAAGGTCCGCTCTGCCCGGCACCGGCTCTGGCCCTGCCCGGACACCCCGCTTCTTGGAAAGAAACGGAAAGCCGAGGAGAAAGGCCACTTCCCTCCTCGTAAGAGGAACTCGGAGGCGCCCTGGCAGGAAAGTCTCGGTGGGGCTTCTCGGAAGCCGCGGCCGCTGCTCTACGGAGGAAAACCGCAGCCCGGCGGCGGCTCACGCCCACCACAGCTGCGGGCGGCTAGCCCCTGCTCTCAGCACCCCACCTCTTGCCAGTCTTCATGCTGCCCCGCTGCCCGGGTGTCCTCCCTTCCCCCAGCACCCCCCAACCAGGACCGGCCAGTGTCAGGGTCTAGGCCCCTCCTCTATCCACCACCCACCACTCACCATGGGCTCCCACCCTCAGGGAGGCGCTGCCCCTCCAGCAGGCCGGCTGGGGCACCCGGGGGCACAAGGAGCTGTGTTTGGAACAGGTCGCATCCCCGGAGCATCTCCGATAGCCTAGTGGGTTGAAGCGAGGGCATTTTCTGGGCACCCAGGGTGCTGAACGGTGACTGCTATGCACTTCATTCATTCTAGACTGGACCCGGCTTCTTTCTCTCAGGGGAGCGGGTGCCTCTCCCATCCTGGGCACACAGGCAGCTGCTGCAGAGAGAGGAGAAGTGCACAGGGACAGTCCCAGCAGGAGGCCTGAGCCTCAGCACAAACGTGTCCGTGGGCGTGGCACTCGGATCTGGCCCCGGCACTCCTCGCTGAAAACCTTCCGGGGCTCCCACTCTTCCAGGGCTCCGGTCCGGGTGCGAGACCCTTGGCACTGGCTCCCAGCCCTCCTCTTCCGCTCCTGTGGGCTTTGCTCTGATGAGCCTCTGCCTCCTCCACTCAGCCACCCCCGCTCATGCGATAAGACCCCGTGGGGCGTGGATCTGGGGGGAGTCTTCCCTGCTCCCAGTGCCAGTCCAGATGGGTTAGGAGCTGCCTCCCTGACCTCCCAGGTGCATCCTCACCAACATCACCTGGTGGCTGCCTAGTCCCTTGACCATCACCCAGCCAGTAGGCACCCAAAGGGCAGCGACTGTGGGCTTGGCGTATCTCAGTGAACATTTGATGAGTGAACTTAGTTCTATCTACCAGGCTGTGTGGCTGAGAGCCCCACGTGCCCACAGGCCCACCATCCACGTGTGGATGTGTATCCCCTGTGCGGTGGGAGGAGACGCGAGCAAGGCTGTCCTGGTCTTCCTGAGATGTGTCTGGGTCCCTGCATTTACCCACCAGCGTCACTGACAATTTTGGACAGCAGGTGGCGCTGCACCCCTCTGTGTTCATCCATCCTAATGGACCCTGTCATTACCCGAGGGGCCTCAGCAGGCACACAAGGCAACTGGGACTGCCTGGGTCTCCTGGGGAATCAGTCTGGTCTTCCGATTGAGCATCCAGGGCTCTGACCCCACAGGACCCAAACCCCAGTTCAACCCATGCCCATGCCACTCTGTATGCCAGCACCCAACTGCACCCTCCAGGAAAGCCTGAAGTCCAGGCGGCTGCAGAGCACAGAGGTGAAAATAAAAGCATGTACTCAGAGTTCCAGCTCTGTCTCTGGCTGGCTGTGTGACCGTGGGCAAGTCTCTTGACCTCTCTGAGCTCATTTTTATGTCTGTTAAATGGGGATCATGGCAATCTGCGAAAAGACATAACCCGTGTGGAACATGGGTCACAGCGGGGCTGCACTGTCAGGCAGTGGTTCTCAAGCGGTAGCCCTGGAGGGCTCATTAAAATACAGGCGTGGGCATCCCCTCCAGATTGTCAGACTCGGTAGCTCTTCAGTGAATGTGCGTTTCTATTGAGTTCCCGGGTGGTGCCAATGCTGCCGGTCGGTCGCTTTGAGACCCACTGGCTATAGGATGCTCACACTCATCAGGGAGACACACAAGGTTAGACACAAAGCAGCCGGCCTCCTGTGATGTGGGATGGAAGGAGAGGACGGGGAGGCAAACTCTGAGGGCTGCAGGGGCGCACGGAGGGGAAACACAGCCTGCGGCCTGGGGAGAAAGAGG